GGTGTCATTGCAAAAATTTTTAGTGAAATAGCGAATCATGAATTTATAAAATGTTTTCGGTTAGACTGCTTTCAACGCGGCCGTCAAAAAAATGCGTTCGAAGTTTTAAATCAGATTCAAAACCAATAAAAATGGCCTATATATTGTACGAAGGGCCTAACACAGACAAAACTTTACCACCTTTAATTGTAATGCATGGTCTTTTTGGGTCGAAACAAAACTGGAGGAGAATATGTCGCGAATTACAGCCGAAAATCAAACAGCGTATTTACTCCGTGGATGCAAGGAACCACGGCCAAAGTCCACATACTAACGAACATAGTTCGGCAAGTATGGCCGAAGATGTGGCGGAATTTATACGTCAACAAGGTTACGCAAAAGTTTCTTTGATGGGTTATTGTATGGGTGGCAAGACGCTGATGTACTTTGCGATTCTACATCCTGATCTAATAGAACGTTCAATTTTTGTTGATGTATCACCGTTTTCAGTGCGAAGACCTGAGATAAAAAGTATAATGCTTACCATGAAGAATATATCGATCTCCAAAGATTTATCTATGCCAGAGGCAAGAAAAATTGTTAATGATAAATTGAGAACTGTTTCAAATTCAAATATTATTACTTTTATATCATTAAACCTCAGGAAACGTAGATCTGGAGAATTTTATTGGTTGTTTAATATAGATCCAATATTTAACAGTACACAACAGGTTTCCGAGTTTGTGGAATATGCTGACAAAATGAAGCCGTTCGTAAAACCGACGATTTTTATTTGTGGAAAACGTTCATCTTACATGGATCCTAAGAGCTGGCCAGATATTCAAAAATTATTTCCGAACTCGAAATTATATTGGCTTGATGCTGGCCATGTAGTGCACCTTGAACAGCCGGAAGAGTTTTTAAAAATAGTGACAAAATTTCTAAGTAAATAAATTTAAATAGTAAAATGATTGAATGAAAATATATTTGTTGAGGGATGTAAATTTTAATAAGTTTTTAGTTTAAATTGTAAAAAATATAGAAAAATATACCTTTTATAAATTTCTACTATAGCAGTTGATGCAACACGTATTCCTTTTTCCTATTAATTTCTTTCTATAATATAGAATATTTTTCTACATTTTTTCCCTTTCTATCTTTTGCAATTTATACCTTTCTCTTCTTAAATATGTCATAAATAAGTATTGTATGAAAAAATATTGGATTACATCGTCCAATAGAATAGAATAGAGTTGGGTACCAGATCCCAACGCAGCGAAACACTACGACTATAGTTGATCTTTTGTGCTGCAACAGGCCCGATCCGAACAGAAGACATTCGGCCATCCGAATAAAAGCCAGAATGTCAGCCGTTGAGCACCTCCTAATGTCAAAAAGGTAAGAGAAGTTCTAGATCCAGTAACCTCCTCCTGGCACAAATCAAGGCTGAGCAGTCGGAGATAACATGATTGGAAGTCTCGCCTGCTTCTAAGCAGAGACGACAATCTATCTCTTCGGACAGAACTATTTTGTTAAGGTGGTAACGCAGTCCATGGTGACCCGTTAAATATCCCACAAGCAACCTCAACTCCGTTCTGCTGAAGAAGGATACCATACGATAATTATAGAGACGAACCAGCTCATTCAATAAATTTACACCTATTATTATTATATGGATAAGAGACAATACATTGCGACCTAAAAGATCTATTGTGCCTATCATTAGTAGCCTTAAATCTCTATATTCCCTGAAATACCTTCCTGGGTGTTTTTTCCGCTTGTGTATCAGTGCGATTTCACTCTCTTCTCTACAGTAACTGCAGTCTGAGCTGGATTTCATTTCTAACTTTCTTAGGTGATTATTTAATCAACAGTGACCGGTTAGTATTTCGGTAATAATTCTTAAGTAATTCTTTGTTAATTCTATACAATCCTTAAAGTGATTGTGATAGATTATAATAGTCTTGGTAACCCATCCCAATACAGTTTTCTTTCCTTTTCCTCTGCGCCGTTCAAAAGAAGGGATAGAGTTCTTTTGTCTAGACCGCAGAAACGTTCTGCAAAAGGCCTATCATCGTTGCAGCCGCAACTCTTTTTTGTGAGTTTGTCTGCTATCTCGCTGCCTTGTATTCTAGCATGCACCGAAAGTTACACCAAACATGATAAAAATTGGTACTTAAGAATTAGAAGGCATAAATAACCAAAAATACTTAGGAAAGGTAAAACAAAGGTGATGCGGAAAATATTTGGGCAGGTACAGAAATCATATCAGGTAAAATCATGTAATTAATTATTTGGCGTATAAATAATCTACATTTGGAGTGGATAAGCATTTTACACGTATGCCTAAAAGAAAGGATATCATCACAAATATTGGAAGACGATTTTAGAACAAATAGAAAAAAATTAATAACCAAAAAAAATTTGATGTTAGAGTGTATATTCGCTCATATTCAAATTATTCGTTTATGTTGGAACCTTTGGCTGGTTTGAATTATTCAAATATTAGAGTCAGTATCAAAATTGGTGCTCATATTCAAATTATGCAAATTGTTTAAAATTTGAGTTGTTTGAATTATTCGAAAACGAATAGCACTAGTAATTCACTAGTGATTCAAGAAAGAAAGAAAGAATAAACTATATAGCTTTTTTTCAATTGTCCATAAGTCACGGTTCACAATATTAACCCAATTAGTTTGATAACTTGTGTCTGGTTTGTGTGTGCCCCCGTGAAGTACCTAACATACGGCGAGCACAACGAGTAATACCAACGTGTCAAACAGCAGTCATTTGTATAACACTCCAACCATTTTAATATATGTAAATTCCCATTTTCTTATTTTGAACAATGCAAAATATTCATTTAGCTGAAGCCACTGCTGCGGTTTATGCAGTTGATTTGAATATAACCCACAGAACGTTAAAACTTTGGATCTTACATCCACCATAAGTATGTGCAGGTCATGTATAAAAATACAAAATGTACATTACAAATAAAAATAATCACTTACAGGATCATTCCATATCACAGACAACTGCATCCAAAATAAAATAACAGAAAAAAAAATTGAACAAAATATGTCTGCATAACAATTGTACAGAAATAAAACTGCTGAATGGACGGACGAACGCTGATGCCTTAAACAAACAGACAGACAGACAGTCTTAAAAAAGACTTAAAAAAGTTCATAAAAAAATGCAAAAATGCGCTTTGTTAGCTGCTGAATAAACAAGCATATAAACAAAAATATATTTAGAAAATTAGTCAGACACTAGTTTAGTTGGAAGGACAGGCAGAGAGACAGTTAAACAGACGAACATACTTGCACTTGGGAAAACGTACTGTACATACATTTCGAATGCAATGCTTAAAAAAAAACAAAAAGGAGCAACTATTACTACTTCAACTACTCGCTTTTACACATTCAAACCGAGTACCAAACCAACTTCCAGCTTCGAAAAGAGACAAAACTGTAGCCTGCTTGCAGAGCAAACTCAAAAAAAAGAAACAAAAATAAGGAAGATTTTAAGTATCTCTGGAAGTGCTTGAATATTGAAGCATTCACTCAAGAGACTATTGAAGTGTATAATGGACTGTGTATTGCTGATTTTAGAGTACATATACGATTACATATGTAGAACCGGGCATGCATTTGTCCAAATAAGAGGATGCTGTGATGTGTGCAAAAAAATCGAGAGTAGAAATCAATGACATATCGTAGCACCACTTAAGCATTATTACATTTTGACACTTGAGTGATGAGTAAAAATGCTGAAGGGATTTAAGATTTTTTCAAAAATATCTAATGCAAAAAATTTGAAACTAAATAAAAGCAATAAAAGTAATATTCGTTTTTCTATCTTTATTAGAAACATTAAGAATACACATATGCTATATATATTATAGATGCAACTAATATTGAACATATCTGTCCCTACCAATAGGTTTAAGCATCAGAGTCGACTAACTCTTGCCCCAACGCACACACCAATTTAAGTCCAATCGATCTTTGGACTCGTCCCCTTGAAGTGGCTAGGTTTCTTCGACTGGATCCTGGTTAGTTTCAAATTACTCCCACCCCTCCCCTTTCCCTCATCCCAACACTCACTCCCACTTTTTCCATTCCTTATCCCATGTATTCGTCTTGTAATCGTTTCATGTTATCTGCTTTCAGGTCCCGGCGGGTTACAACAACAAATTCACGAAGAAAAAGAAAATTCTATAATAAGATTCTGTAATCTTTTATAAGTTTTCAGATATATCTAACTAAATTCAGTCACTAAAATATATGTATATTTATTATTATATGTTGAGGCTGTGCTGTTAGAATGTCCTGCGCTAATGCACATACGAAATAGGCTTCTAGGAATGTATATTCTTACGGAAGAGGAAATAAGGCTCTGTAAAGTAGATTCTATACTACTTTTTATTGACGCAACAGGGCTTATAGACCTACTCTAAGCCCAGAACGGGGCACAATAGACCCGACGGTCCCAATGCTATATTCCCTAACAATAATAATTATATTATGTTGAGGCTAGTTGAGTCAGTGCACCTGCGAGGTTTCTTCAAACCTCTAGCGCCTTTACTAGATTATTGTTTATCACTTCATTAGTCTAAGCAATAATTGGTCTCAGATCTGCATACCTCCCCGATATTTAACGAAAATCGTTTTAAACTACTGTATTGGCTGTGTTACTTATGGCAATGCTACTCCTTCCACCATTACAAAACTTCAAACTTGTTAGAATATTGTTAGAATAGAAAACTCGATGATATATTAGAAATGAAGACATACGTAACGTCTTAAGACTGGAGAGTGTGCAAAAGTATATCAAAGACAAAGCGCTGAAATTGTTCTATTTTGTGGCAGCATTATCTCAAATCAAAAGCAATACATATTCTATCAGGAAAATATGCTCAGCTTTAACTTCTATAAAATCATCCTAATAACTTATCAGAGTTCAACGGATCATCTAAATGGTCACAGACACTACTGAGTAAAAGTGCTTTAGACCCTAACACACGTTTGATCAAGCAAAGAAGAAGACTGAGGGTTAATTAAGATGCGGTTACTCGTGGCATAGCAATCAAAAAAAAAGGTAATACTGATTCACTTGTAGGAGTGTTAAATATAACAGCTCCAGGAAGTGCAACAAATTTTACAAACAGTACATTCATGCTTATAAGTTCGAAATATATATGTTAATAAATAAACAATAAACATAGTAGCACAGAAATATTTTAAAAATTTATCTGTTAAATTCAGAAATAAAAAAAAATTGTTCTATCGCACTCAAACACCTAATTTTTAATTCAATCGTTATCAAAAATAGTTACAAAAAAAAAGTAAATATTCCTACACAGTTACTTCAGGTAGCAGCTAAAATGAGTATCAACACAGAAGAAA